TAAAATTGTTTTCAAAAGGAATCATTTTTGAACCAATAAATACATTATAATTATTTAAATTGATCAACCAAATTTATTTGTTCAACTTCAGAACAGTTCTCCAATATTTTGAGCATTCAATACAAAATATTCCACTAAAACACTAGTTATTTGGTACCCTTGAGGACATGCTTGAAAGCCCAAATAAATTCTTTTTGTCTTAAATTAATAATTCTGCTTGCATTTTACAAAAATTTACTTTATTGTAAAGTAAATTTTTGTAGCAGTCAAACAGTCTCTGGCAACATAAACATATGCTGTAAAGCGAGTATGTTCTTATTTATAATGTTTGAAACAAATTTCAAGAATTTATTTACCATATTTTTCATGTATATAATCCATGGTGACATATACTAAAAGAAAATTGCTAGAAGAAAAATAAAATTGCATGACTTGCCCCACTGTGTATCTATGGGAGCAGCTGTCACTCCATAGGCTTGGATTCATAATTGCAATTTAAAATAGGCATACAACCTGCATCCCCTTTCAAAATGTCTTTTGAACACAGGTAATCCGCACAAAAATACACTGTTAATTAAATATTAAATGAAAAATTGATATGAAAAATCTATGCATCAGATACTATTCTATGAAAAAGTTTCACCTATCTTATGATTTAAATTTTCTATAAAGATCAGAACAACTTCTAAGAACAAATCATTTGAATATAATAAAATTATGAATGTATAATAAACAAATTTATTATTATTTAAATTACTTTTTATTCTAGCAAATGAGTGGATGTAGAGTACAAATATTTTTGACACAATCATCAATTGTAAAAAAAGAAAAATTTCAAATGATTCAAGAGATATTCTTTTGTTCCATAATTGTTAAAATGTAATTTCAATCTAGTGTATGTAGATGTAGATGTAGATGTACTATACAATGCATTACTTTGAAACGCTTCAAATGTCAAAACTGACCTTTTTGATTAATGTCAAACAACAAAACAGATTAGTAAAAATGATATTTTCTATTTTAAATTTTTCTTTTTAAATTTGAGTGCAGTTTGCAGCACAAAAAAAAATTTAACTTTTTATAACTCAATAATTCTGGAACAAATTCAATTACCGTCAATAAAATCCTTTGTAGACACTTCTATAGACTACAATAACATAACTGTATATTTGATTGATAGATTAATATGAGTTTGTTGGAAAAGTGTGTAAAAAGCAATCCTCAAATTAAACAAAATCTTTTTAAAGATTCGGAGAAAATAATATGCATTATGAGAAATAATTTGATTTAAATTAATAAAGGCTAAAAAAGTGCATTTTCATAATTTTTTAAAAATGAAAATGTCCCTAAATCATTCAAAGGTAGGTGCAACAGTTAAATGTACAGTACTTATGTATTAGTACATATTCATATAAAGTCCTGTTTCTTGAAAGTAGAATGCTAAGTAAACTCTCCAAAAGACATTCTAGTAGTGATCATCTTCAACAGTGATATTATATAAAAAAAAATGGCACATAATACAAAAATTGCAATTAAAGACCTAATGTATGTTAAAACAAAAATGCATTTATCATCTGTTATATATCAGTAATCATTATTTCAAATTTGTTAATGTCAGATACTATTCTATGAACTAGAGCAGTGTTTTTAACCTTTTTCTCATTGTGGAAAGTCGTTGACCACCTGACCAATTATTCAAAGTACATAATTTTGAGTAAATATAAAAATAAACACTTTATATCAGCCAAATTTATTATTAACTGTCCTCAGACAACTTTTAAAATTTGTTTTAAATATCCATTTTGATTTTATGTAAATAATAATAAGTTGTATTTGTTAAATTACATTACCTGTGATTTTTACTTCCAGGGGAATAAAGGTGTTTAATCAATCCCAATGCGCACATTTTGAAAATCAAGAAAATGTCACATCATGTCAGTTTTCAAATATCAAAGCTATTATATCAGGTATCTGTGCATTTACCAGTGTAAAGTATATGCTGTAACACCACCAATATTAAGAATTAATACCACAGGAAGCACTTTCAGTGAAGTAAAGCAAGCAACTGAAACTTGAAACTGATATCCTGCACTCCTTAACTGAACATCTTGTTTAAAGTACTTTAAACCATAACTGAGCTTTGTTGCTATGTTTTGAAGTTTAAGATTCCTCTGACAGATGATGTTTGAACAAAATAAATCTTCATTTATCCTTGGCAAATTCAATTTATCTCCAAAACACAAAAATCTATAACAACTGAATTGGACAGATTAGCTATTTTGCTATTTGAAAGATCAAATATAGCTGGTTTAGTTGACTAAAGTAGGAAGGAATCTGTCTTCACTGATTTATTAACAGCTGAAAAGATAAGTGGTACACTTTTTCTTTTTTTTTTATTTTATCCTATTTTAATTTTACCATGTTATAAAATTCAGATACAAATAAATATTAATATGAGTAAGTTATATTCATATAACATAAAAATGATTTATAGTTCTTGTTTATTCAGTTTTTGTTAGTGGAGAATCAATATCCAAACAGCAAGTTTATATACCTTTAAAATGTTTGTATGTCTTTGTCTAAGGCACTTGCATGTTCCCCATGTCACAGTACAGAGTTATTGCAAATCAGCTTGTAGAACAGTCACTTTTGGTGCAAGGCTTTTGATATCCTGAGATAAAAAATTATCTGGATTCCACATAAAAAATGTGGATTCCCACCTTGATATATCTGCCTATGTTCAAAATAGCATGAAAATTAATTGTAATTTTTGAAATCAGGATGATTTTTCTATGGAAATTAGCTGCTTTAATGCTAGAGGTATAAATATAAACAATCAATCACATTGAAACCTGATACATTATAAACTACAAGCCAACTAATGCCATATATTATCGGGCTGATATCAGCTAAAATACTAAATTATGAAATAATTTGGCACTAGAGGGAGGCATTAGGCACCCTCTCTTAATACATTTAATAATTATAATTATAATTAATAAATTTAAATAACTTAGAAATACTGGAATAAAAGAGGTATAAAAACTTATTTTCGTTGGATAATGTCATCAATCCATGCATGCATTAGAAGTACAGGGTGTTTGGAAAGTCCCTGTGCACTTTTCTATCATATGTTTGCATTATTTCAAAAGATATGTGTCCTCCATGTTCACCAGATCTAAATCCACCACACTTTTATCTATGGGGAGCAGCAAAATCTGCAGTACACCTAGATTGTCCATGCATGATGGACGACTTGAAAGCAGCAATAAGAGTATTCATTCAGTCTATTTCAAGTGAACAACTGATATCAATGTTTAGAAACAAAAGGAGGATCCAAGCCTATATTGTTGTCGTTAATGGAGGTCACTTTCAACATTGTTTATAATTGTCATTCATATTTACCTCCTGTATTCTATATTGAAACATCTGTTAAATATATAAGTGCACAGTGACTTTCCAAACAGCCTGTAAATAAGCTAGGTAATTTCTGGGATGTCAACTGTATTAAAATGGATAGCAAGATGGCATATTCATAGAGACAATGCTGTTCTACTTTAGGAATAATTTCACCACCAATATTTTCCTGTCACACCTGTTCAGGTAAATGTGGCATTCCTTTAATGATAATAATTATCAGTCTTATCTGAAGTTACACCTGAGTGACTTCAGACTTAAGATAATCCAAACAAAATAGATATTACTGTAAGATTAAATTTTAGTTTTATATATTAGTTTGTTGTATATATATAGTTGATTTTGTTCTGATGACAACTTTCCTAACAATTTTTCTTAACAGATTTGTAGCAAGTTAACTGTTAGACAAAATTTTCATAAGTAATATAAAGAATAATACATGTATAAAACAATAAATTTCATCATCTAAATACACAAAAATTCGATAATGCTTACAATTTGAATCAGTCTTATTTATTTAGAATGAAATTTTTTTACTCAGAATTGTCACAAGATAAAGTTGTTAATCAGTTTTCACTAGTTAAATACTATATGCATTCACATAAGGATAAAAAAAAATTTGAAAAGTTAAAAATTCTTATTGAAGTTGTCTTTGTATGTATAATTCAATTTCACTTTATTTTCATCTGATTTTTTGTTTAAACCATGAAAAACATTCTACATTTAACTCAAATTATATGAATAAGAACATGATATAAACTTTAATTTTATAATCTGAATACAAATTCATTATGATCTTTTTAAACATGTACTGATCTGCTACAGAAAATAATATACAAAGGTCAAAATACTCACAATCTAATAATAAATGTTTGAAAATATTTTGCAAACATTTGGTATATTCTCTATACTTTATAACTATTATCTCAAGTTAAAGACAAAATAATAATCAGATTCTTACAGTTAAGCATACTTTGTGCTTGTTCTGTTAGCTTTTAATGTTATAAAAATTAAATTAGTTTTAAATTAATAATAAAAATAGGAAACCAAGCTAAATAAGTACAAACAAAACACTATGGCCTCATAACAATTGAGTATACAAATATATAAAAACAATTTATAAAACTTTATTCTAGTTTTAGATATATCCCTGTAACTGGAATTAAAATAGTAAATTTATATTTTACTACTTTCTTCAAAAAAATCAATTATTTGTATGTTGAAGTTAAAAATATAATAATATAGTTTTAATTTGAATCACTTTATAAACATTTTAACCATTAATAAACATGGAATACTTAAAATATTCCACTTAACAAATTATATGTTATATATTTATGTTTTTCTTTCAATATAACAACAACATGTCTTTATTAAAAATTACTGAATGCATTATTCTGTGATAAAAATACCAAGTATATTTTAATTATTTTGGCAAGTAGTTTAGTACGATGCAAAATTTGACCAATTTATGCTATTATTGTCAAGTGTATTCCTTCCCAAGATTTGTTCTTTGTTTCGATTAATGCCTTTTTTGGAATACCAGTTCCAAATTGATTTCTAGCCAAGTGGAAAACTGCATATATAATACTTACTCTAGCAATTCACTGCTGAATCAGTTGAACATAATTTGCTGGAAACAAACCAATCTGTCCTCTGCATTCACCTCTCCACCAGCCTTCATCAATCATCTCAATATTTGTAATAATATCATCAGGATCAAAAGTAATTTCGTCACTATCTGCAGCCTGATAATCATACAGTGCTATTGCAGACAGTCCTGTTCCATCAGGTGGTGCCTCCAATTGCTGATACATTTCTTCATCAGGTGGTTGTAAGGGTTCAATACTTGTTTCTTGATTTTCATAAAGCTCAGATTTATTCTGAAACACAGTTTCTACTTTATTAGTTTCAGTTTTTTCTGAAACTGAATAATGATGTTCTTGTTCTTGAATGACATTATTAACATAATTCATTGTAACATCTGATTCTTTAGGAGAGTGCATCTTTATAGGTTCCTGAGAAGTTTGATTATTTTCAACAGGTGGAAGCTGATTTGATTCTTCTTGATTTTGTTCTACTAAACTATTCTGTCTTTTCTCTTCTCTCTTTTTATCCTGTTCTCTCTCCAGTTGTTCTTGAGCCAATCGTTTTGTACGCTCTTCTTCTGCACGCTTTTTGATTTCATCAGATTCTGATCTAGCCATATTTTCAAATTTAGCTCGTAAACTACTAGCCTTTTCGGATCCACCTGTAATTTGTGGCTTCTCATAAGCTGACTGTGGTTTTTCCAATTCAGTAAATGGATGAGCTGATTTATCTTGCCTATCAGATTCTACACCATATTTTCCTCCAAATCCTTTTTTCATATCCATTTGGGAAGGATGTTTCTCAGTTTTGGTTACTTCTTCCCATCCATGGGCTGATTTATCTATTCTGTCAGACTGAATGCCATACTTTCCTCCAAAACCTCGTGAATAATCTCTCTGAGACGAATGCTTTTCAGTTTTCTCATGATATTCCCATCCAACTGCAGATTTATCTTGTTTTTCTGTTTCTACTCCAAATTTACCACCAAAACCTCTTGCATAGTCTTTCTGTGATTCATGTTTTTCTGTTTTCTCATGATAATCCCAACCAACTGCCGACTTATCCACACGGTCCTGCTGAATACCATACTTTCCACCAAAACCCGATACATAATCCTTCTGCGAAGTGTGTTTTTCGGTTTTCTCGTGATAATCCCATCCAACAGCAGATTTATCCTGTCTGTCTTTCTGTAAGCCAAATTTTCCACCAAATCCCTTTGTAGAATCCACTTGAGACGTATGTTTTTCTATTTTTGCGATGTAATCGTGTCCCAATGCAGATTTATCCATTCGATCTTTTTGGACACCAAATTTTCCCCCGTAACCAAACGATGCTTTAGGACCCGATTCCATCTCCTTCTTCTTAACTTCTGCGTCATCGTGAGCCACTTCATCTCTCAACTGACGGATATCAATGGCTCCGGCAGTTCTTCCCGATCCTTCAACAGTTTTAGATCCCCAACGTTGTTCCTCCTCCGTTACATCGTTAACAAAGTCTGGATCCGTTTCCCAATCGTCACCTCCGTCACTCGTATCAATTTTAATGCCGCTCGCAGCAGCAGCTTTCCAAGTCGTCATATTGTTTTCGATTTATCTCGTGAGTCACTCCTTTCCGTTCACTTCCCTACTAAAAGTCACGTTCCCACCCACCAATATCCCTCTATCGCTTCTATTAGCGATTAATATAAATAAAAATTGTAGACAAATTACCGCCAAATTTTATTTAATATTAATAAATTTTTAAATAATTTATAATAATATATTATTAAAAGAAACTTTAATTAATGCATTGTCGAACGTATTTAAATTTTTTATAATTTATTATGTATAAAATTCAAAATGGTGATATCGTTCAGAAGCGGCACTTTTATGAGTTTTAATACCTATTTTTATATATTATTTTCTTCAATCATTTTATAACCAACCATTAACTTTTAATTTGTTTGCATTTTTCACATTGTATTTATTATGAAATCTTTTCGAGTCTTCCAAAGCGGGTGCTACGATAATCCGCCCACATTTCCGAATGATCTATCAAAAAGAAAGAGCTTGTATTAATATAATTCATATAAGAAATTTTCAATAAAAAAAATATTCCATTGCTTAAGAAACTTTCCATCTTTAAGGTAAAAGTTAGTTAGTTTGTAATGAAAGATGAACGACGGAATAAGTGTCAACATTAGATCTATTCTTGAGTTCTTCAGGAAAAAATCGCAGACCAACAGAGATTTTTTCCCTTCTAACCCTTCTATTATAATATAGTATTTGATTTATATAACTACGAACGTTATCTTACGTAAAGGTTTAAAACGCCAATTGCCTAATATCACGCGGCCCACCAGTGACCAAGCGAACCCACGGAGTTAAGTCGTGGGTTCGCGCATCGCACGAACGGACTGGCTACGTGGAGTTTTCCTGGTTTTCTCCACGTCTGTAACGTCTAAATAGGGGCCAGTTTCCCTTAAAAGGACCTCCCGGAAGGCATCCTCTAGGCAGATCGCTTCAGTATTGCGGTACCATAACTAAACAAACAATGTCACGCATTTTAAAAATTATTTAAGTTGTAGACAGTAGAGGAATGAAATAATTTTGAAAATGTGTTAGGTAAGGGTTTATCATACTAAGTGAACAATCTAAGATAACTTTTGTAGTTATATAAATCAATTCATTCGAATGTCGATCGGCTCGGAAGTTTTCACGAACAGGTTTGTAGGGTATTTTTAACCCAGTCACTCATTACTTGACCATCTCTGCTGTGATTCTGAACGAATTTACGATGGTCTTAACTATTCGTGCCTACAGGAAAAGAAAAGCCAAAAATGAAAATTATCATATAGTTTTATGCAGCTAACACTAAAGTGACCAAATCTTGAAATTAAACAGAGGGACGATAGGCCGGGTCCTTGGGCAAGACGTCAGACGAGTTAAATAACAGGTGCAGGTATTTGGAAGTTCAGTATTTTTTTTTTTATTACGAAGCGTGCTTTTTCTCGAAGAAAAATGGTGAGCGCCGATCCGGTCAGCTCTGATTAACTGATATAAGATATTTTAGCTGACAACATAACGATGCTTTTCGATAAAGTAATAACCAGATCCCGAATTTTGAAAATTTAACAACATTTTATTCAAGCCAGCATATTGTTATTTCCGCATTTGTATTGGCTCGAAGCATTTTTTTTTTTTACATTTTTCGGAAAGTAGAAATGTAGTATCGCAGTTATCATTAACAAAGGGAAACATTTTTAGAACTGAGATGGCAGCGGAACCGACTACATAAAAGAGAATAGTCTGAACCTTAGCTATGGCATGAAATTATTGCCAAATCGCTACCAAAATTGCTGAAGCTCAATTATTATACAGTCGACCCCCTATAATTACGATTCCTATAAAACTACAAAAAAATATACGTATTTTCGAAATGTTGAGTCGGATTAGTGTAGAATCGATTAATTTTATGGAAGAAAACCTTTCAATCAGCCGTAGTCCGTAAACTTGACACGTGTCGGGCTGTGATTGGAACGACTTGTAAGAAATCGGATTCCTAATAAATTGGAACGTATCTATATCTTATAGGGGGGTCGACTGTACAAAATTCATAATGAACTTAACACCTATGTCCCTCGCTGATTTTGATGAGTTTTGGCACAAAGATAGTGTTTAATATGATAATGCAATCCCTAAAACCATTTCATTGTAGGGACCATAACGAACGAGTAATCAAGGTTTAACTCTACTTTTTTTTTTGTTATAACTCTTTCCGCCCTGTGGGCACTAAGAGAGTCTTTTTTTTTGCAAGCTCATTACGGATTCGGCCGGGCCCACAATGGGGAGACCGGGTGGTGAGGGACGAGACCCGACGTATCCGAATGGACCACCCTCCGAAAAATTTCTGGGGATTTTTCGACCCGTCCTGATCGATCCCGGGTCCCCCAGAGCGGTAGGCTGCCACCTTGACCGCTCGGCCATCCGGCCACTCTATCATAATATCAGAAAGCATAGAGATTTTTTCAAAACAAAAAAAAATTTACTATTTTAAATTTGTTTTTATATATTCATATGTCGAACTTGGTATAAAACATTATAACTTATATCGAATTATATAAAAACAAAACTTTTAATTTTAGCTTTTGACAAATAATGCCGCAAGATGGCTTTTGCGTGGAGTCGTCTGTAATTCGGAAATATTTTTGGTTGGAAATTTAAAATGTTTAAAACCAAAATACTCGTCGTGGGACCAAGCGCTGTATGAAATATTTTCCATTTATTTAGATATTAATTGTTATTATAGACAGATTCACGTTTCGTTTTAATACTTATTAAAATAAATTTTAATTTATAAATATCCATAAATAGTTTTAAATGCTTAATTTTGATTAAATTCCTTAAACATTCGAATAATTTCATCATTTTAAGGAAAAACTATGTTGTAAATACTACATAAATTGGATTACCGAAGTCGTTTCTCATTTCTTAAAAAATATTTAAGGTTAATGTTTACCTAGGTATTCCAAGATGGCTGCACAGTGGGGACCCCCGTTCTAACCTAACCTAACCTAACCTATTCTAATAAATTAACAAAATTACTAATGTAAGATGTAAAATAACTCAAAAAATTAATTATATGAAGAAAGGAAATTTTTGTTAATTTATTAGAATAGGTTAGGTTAGGTTAGAACGTGGGTCCCCACTGTGCGGCCATCTTGGACTACCTAGGTAAACATTAACCATATTTAAATTTACCATTGCCCATTGTGAATCGCCCGGTGACTGTCGCTTGGTTGATGTGTACCCGATTGCAGACCCATTTTTGATTTTGGATAAAAATACCTTTAAAGTCCAAGTCATCAAGCACAGTTTTTTTCAATCAGGTATTTGCAGATGCTAAGTTGGAAAAACTATAACCTTATTAGGCTGCAATGAAAAAATTGTAGACTTATAAATTCCCCACTGTTGTCCATCCACCATCTGTCTTTCCTTAATCTCAAGAATGGAGTTAGTTAGATGAAAGACGAGACCAGATATGGAAACCTTAGAGCAGGAGGCTCCAATTAACTATATGTGAACATTCAATGCAAACTGGAAGTCATGATATTTCAATTCAAAACTTTTCTCCTGAAAGATGACCGGCATGACTATTTTTAAAGGAAAAGTATGATGTACGGGGGGCCTGGTCATTGTCTACAAAACTTACTTGAAAAGAACATGATATCTGGTGAAAGACGAATTTTTAATGTGTTTGGACAGTGACATGAACGTTTGGTTAAATATATCATATTACTTTGGCAATTTGTGTAAATGAATGGATGTACCAGTATGTTCATGTCATTTTATATTTCACATCATTGACCATTGACATACACAATACATATATATATTTAGTGAACAGTTTAATTTTGCTATGCTATGGTGAAGCTTTGCATTAAGTATAAATTATCAAATAACTTTGCATTCACAATATATTTCATGCCATATTAGAACTTTTAATCCTACTTGTAAAAAGGAAAATATTAACTTTAAACACTTTTACTGTTCAATTTTTTCTTTTTAAACTTCTGTTAATTTTGAAAATTATTCAATGCTACATGTAAAAAATTTTGGAAGATCATTCTTCCAAAATTTCTGATCTCTGGTTCCTTTAAGTATTTTGTATTTTGTTCATACAGCAGCATGGTAATGGTGCCCAGCAAAGAAAAAAATCTTGTCCAGTAAATTATACAAATCTACCAAAAGTTAATTATAATTTTGGATATGCTAATCTGCTTATGTTAGTGTTCATAAATGTATAAATTTAGAATTCTGGATAGTAAGAGATGGATCCAACGTTCTGAAAGTGTTACGAATGTGATAACAAAACAACAAAGTTTTAGCTTAGAATTCTAAAAAATATTAGTTAATAACAATATTAGTCAATCTCTAACAACAATCATTTTATTAGCAATCAATGTTGTTGTTAATAGTTTAATTGTTTGTATTTCTTTTCAATTTTAAAGGTATATTTTTATTGTTTTGAAAATTGCAAAAATACTAGTGTATTGTTTTCATTTAAATCCAATAACTCTTGATAAAATATTTTGTTGTCTAGCTTATAGGCTACTAGGAGTTATAGGATTTTCTGATGAATGAGATCACAAAATAAAATATTAGATCTATTTTCAAAACGTTTTATTAAATATAGTAAATTATTTAATCAAATTGCATACATTTATAACATTTCAACTCATTTTTATGAGTTTATGACTTTTTCATAAAAAAAACTTTTAAGATTTTTATTTATTTATGTTGTTAACAATACTAGTTATTAAATCATTGATCATTTAATAATAATAATTTATAGTGTATTTAAATTTATTAATTTACATTTTATATTTTAGAGTGGTAAAAGTGTGGTGTGCAATTTTTTGGCTGAAGCTACAGACAGCTCAACAGGTGAATATCATCCAACGCAGGGAGTGAGGTATTAAAATATTTTCTTTTTTAAATCTTGCATTTATTTTATATTTCAACCGTACTTTTTTAAAATTTGTTTTAAAGTAGGATATAATATAATGGTTATACACTAATATTGGATTGGTAGAAAATTAATGGGAATAATAATCCACAAAAACCTTTATATAACAGTGTTATATAACAGTATAGTGTTATAGCTGAAAGTCTCGCAGTGTTAAAGTTAGAAGTCGTATTGTGTTAATGGGAATATGTAAGATAAAAACATTCCTGCAATTAACCAATATTTTATTTAATCAAGAGTGTAATTGCCATTGTTAGTAATGGTTCTTTGTCAATGATCTACAAGTTTATATATGTTTTTACTTTCCCAATTGTTATGTATACATAAAAAGTGAAAATATTGGAATTGTATCAAATTTAACCCTCCAAGTTTTTTTGCAAATCTTCACATTTTGAGTCCTGAACCTAAAAAAAGACAGAAAATTTCATGGGTGTGTGTGTTTTGGCATCTATTTTGTTTAATATCTTGGGATGGTGTAATGATGAAAAAACAAAATTTGACATAGTAGCTTGTGTATAAGAACAGTTGATGCTATTAAATTTTGTGGTTAAAGGTTAAGGAGGTGAGGAGTTAATAGTATGATTAACAATATAAAAGTTATTTTTTAAATAAAATCTCATAACATTTATAGAGTTTCTATGGAATTTTTAATAGAGATTTTGTGCCTTTGTGATAACAAAATTGATTATGAACTCTTTCACTTCAATATTGTTTCACTTTTTCACTACTGATGAATGAAACAGATTAAAATCTGAAAGAACTTATCAACTTATCTGGGCAGATAAATACAAAACTTGGACAACTAAAAAATGGAAAGTTAGGTCATTTTTTTATTATTTAATAATGGGTAGCTACAACTTTATTCACTAACTACATGAAAAATATCATGCAGCTTGTGTAAGTTAGAAAGTGAAATTATTGTCATGGTGTATGGAACAGTCTGCACTGATAGTGTTGGAAGTCTTTGTTTGATTGAAAACACTTCGAATTTGGCTAGCTACATTAAAATATTAGAAGATTATTTAATTCTCACTACTAACAGGAGTGGAAGATGGGAGAAAAGTTTGAATTTTATTCATCAGCAAGATAGAGTGAGCACCATTCTATTTAGCTGGTTTAACCAATATTAATATTCCACTATTAGACTTGCTAGGAAATAGTCTTGATATGAACCCTATAGAAGATAAATGAGGAAAATTAAGAAAAAAAGTGACAGAGGCAAAACCATAAGATTGAATCATTGAAAACTGCTGCGGAAGTCTGGCTAAATTACAAAAGAAGTATATGGTTGCACTTGTCTCAGTTAAATGAAACCAGACAAAGTATTCAATTGTCTTTTTAAAAGTTTTTTGAAATTTTCCATATTTTTGCACTGTAATTTTGTCTTACAAACACACTTTATTTTAAAAACTTTCTGAATTGAAATTTTAAAGAATGAAATCAATTCTATTATTAAAACAAAGAAAAAATAATGTAGTTTTAAGTGTTATAAATAAATTTTGTGAAAACAATAGTAATTTTTGACTACTTGTGATGCAAGAAGGAACTTGACTGGGAAAAAAAAAATTCTATTATAGTGTCACTGAGTATTATTTTCTGATATTTAAATAACAAAAATTGAGTTTATTTTACTTAAATCTTGTCAAAATTAAGAGCATTTCATTAAATTTATAAAAATCATTATTGTTTATTATTATTTTTTTAAAAGACTTTCTGGGTCTCTCTGGGCCCAGGTAGCACATGGATATCTAAAGGTATCAAATCATCCAATGGCCATGTTTGAATTATAGATAATTCTTATAGGTCCACTCAAAGAGCCCATTTTAAACTTGCCTACTTTAAACTTCAGCAGATCCCTCTCAGTGGTCTCATTTGAAACAAGCATAATTGTTCCAATTGTCTACTTAAGTATAAAAAATAAACATGTTGATTTATTATATCTATTGGTTTAATTAATGTTCTTGATTAATACCGAAAAGAGCAAGAAAAAAATCTTTCAGTAAACTCTATCAGCAGAATATGTCAAAAAATTTATTCATCATTTACAAATGGTGATTCTGTTGTCATACATTATTATGACTGCAAGTGAATTGCAATTTTTGACTTAAATGTATTACTTTTTTCATGTATTTATGTATAAAATTTTATACTTATAGTAAAATTTTGATTAAAATTTAAAAATTTTAACAGAATATTGGAATTTGAAAGTGATACCATCAATGTGAGTGGACGAATTGTCAAAGCTGAAGTGGAGCTGTGGGATTGTAGTGGCGATACCAAGTAAAGTAAAATATATATGTTTTTTATTTGGTTTATTGTTGATTATTGTGTTATTTTAAAACTAAACTTTAATAGTTGTCAAAAGTTGCTGTTGCTCAATTGGCTAGGAAATTCACAAACTGGCACAAATTCTTACAAAATGCATTAAATGTGCCAAGTAGCAATAGTAGTAATACTCAAATTTTGATGCATGTTAAGAAGTTCTAAGTTCATTGATTGATTTAAGTTTAGAATGTTGGAACAATGTAATGTTCCAACATTTGGCATACAAAAAGTGATTTAGGGATATTAAAGTGTTAAGTTTGAAAGAACAAAATTATCCAACAGTCAAAGATTGCATATATAGGAAATCTATTCTTGTATCTAGCCTCATGCTTTTAACCTTTTACCACCACCATCTTGTTTACGTTAATTTTGTAAACTGTCTGAAGGCAATATAGGTCAGTCAGGCGATGATATTTTAAAAATTCACCAAAAATCAAATTATCATTATATTATATTCATATGAAAAAAATCATGTACATTTATTAATATCTTTAGTTTTAAATATGATATTTTTCAATACATTATATTAAAAAAAATTTATAAGAAAAAAAATAATATATATCCGAACTGATATTTAAACTTGATAATTTGTAACTTTTTGTCAAAACTAACATTGTTTAGTTATCTAGTTTTCTGCTGGCAATAAGCCAGAAAGACATAGAATATTGTTCTGTACAACTATATATAACACTTATGCATGTATGTTTATTCGTTTTGAAATTATCACACATTATATCAGACATTTGTTTGAAATCAAAACTTTATTATGCTGTCAACTAATATAATGAACTAATATACTTTATTCACTTCATATCAAACAAGAATATAAATTTTTGTAATAAACATGATTACTGTAGTAATACATGTAAAATTTGTGCATGTACATTTATTCATTGTGAAATTATTGCACATTATATCAAACATTTGTTTGAAATCAAAACTTTACTATGCTATCAACTAATATAATGAACTAATA